TTATTTATTTAAAAAAAATTTTTTTTTTTAACGTTTATTTATTTTTGAGACAGAGAGAGACAGAGCATGAACAGGGGAGGGTCAGAGAGAGAGGGAGACACAGAATCTGAAACGGGCTCCAGGCTCTGAGCTGTCAGCACAGAGCCTGACGCGGGGCTCGAACTCACGGACCGCGAGATCGTGAGCTGAGCCGAAGTCGGCCGCTCAACCGACTGAGCCACCCAGGCGCCCCTCACAGTGGTCCTTTTTATTCACCAGAACTCACAACTCGTCCTAGGAAAGCACTGTATGACTTTAGTGTTTTTAAGAAGAAATACTTTGAGAAGCCACTCGGGTGATAGAGTGAAAGCCAAAATAATAAAAAGATGGCTCCTACCTCACCTGTCTGTGTCAGATGGCCAGAGGACTTTATGTCGCTTCCCAGAGGGAAGGGGGGGGCGGTCAGTAAGTCACATGGAAAGACAGGGTTGGGGAGCTCACACAGTTAGTTCCCCTCCCTGCATTTGAGGGGAGAGAGAGGGAGGAAAGTCCCTGGAAGCCACGGTGGGGGGCAGGGAGGACTTCGGAAATCGAGTGTCTGAGAAGGGTTTTCTGGGTTGTGTGCTCTTGGACGGTTGGCGTAAACCGTCCCTCCCTGTCTCCCTGCCGGGTTATTCAGTGGTCCCTGTGGCACGGCCATGCGGGTAGATTCTCAGGGTTAATCCAGGACTGCTTGGTCTGGGAGATGGCAGAACTGCCGTCGTAGCTGGAATGATACCACTAACCACGGCCAGCGCCTCCCGCGCCGCCTCTGGAACCTACCGTGCGAGGGCTCGACCTACAGAGTGTGATGGGGGTATTGCTGTGATGTTGCTACAGAACAGGAAACAGGTTTGGAGATCAACGTGTCCTGCCCCAGCTCATGTACGTGGCAGAAACCAGTGCTACCCCCTCCTGTCCCAGCGGTGTCTGTCCCAGCGGTGTTCTGTCAGCCTGGGGCCGCGTGGACACTTGCCTGCATCCTCAGGGTCCAGCCCCAGACCCAGCACGGAGCGGGCGCTGGGTGGGCGTGTGTTAGCAGAGGCTGGGTCAGGAGCCAACTCAGTGGGAAGGCATTTGGTTGGTTCTGGTAAAATCCCAGCTGCTTACGGACATCCAGGTCAGGAGAAAAGACCCCTCGTGTTCTTCAAACCATAGCTGGAGTACCAAACTGTAGTTCAATAATTTCACAGGGGCGCCTGGGGGCTCAGTCGGTTGGGCGTCCGACTTCGACTCAGGTCATGATCTCGCGGCTCGTGAGTTCGAGCCCCGCGTCGGGCTCTGTGCTGACAGCTCAGAGCCTGGAACCCGCTTCGGATTCTGTGTCTCCCTCTCTCTCTGCCCCTCCCCCGCACACTCTCTGTCTCTCTCTCTCAAAAATAAACATTAAAAAGAGACTTAAAAAAAGAATAATTTTACAAACTAGGGAATGTCCAGAAAAGGGCGGCTCCCTCCGCCCTAGGTAGTAGGTAGCCATTCTGGAAATTAAAAAAGAAAAGTCACATCAGCAGGGAAAACCCATTGAGTCACCTCTGCGATGCCCAAGTGGTTACGTACCTTCAGTTCAAGGAGTCGTGTGGAAACTGAGCAGGTGGGTGGGCGGGGGCAGGTGGAGGAAAGAATGGCGGAAACGAGCAGAGTTCCCATCCTCTAAGGTGAGACAGGCGTGGATTTTCTGAAGCGCGTGGTCTCATTTGCTGCATTTACAGACCTCACGCTTAATTCTCGCCAGCGCCCCGGGTGCCATCCGCCCACCAAAACTTGCTGCCTTGAGCCGACTGCATCGGCACCACCTGGGACCTTGTCAGGCGGGCAGGGTCTCAGGCCGTCCCCAGAATCTGTATTTGTATCTTAACATGATCCCCAAGTGATTTGTATTCATGCAGACGTTCAGGAAACGCGACCGCGGATTGGTGTGTAAAGCAAATGTCAACTTGCAAGGATGCAAACGATCCCGCACACTCTAACGTGGTCAGCCTGCACACATCAATCATCCCCTCCGACCAGACAGGTCAGGAGGTGGCTGGTGATCCCCACATCCTCCCCCGGCACCCCGCCCCCGTCACAAGGAAGTGACCAAGTACCAAGGCTGAGTAAGCACTAACCAGGCGAGAGGGCGAGTGAGAACGGAGGTGGGGAAGGTGAGAGGGTCTTCTAGGAAGAGACAACCGTGTGTGCACAGGCCCGAAAGGGAAAAACCCCGTGACGTTTAGAGGAACTGAAAGACGGCCGGAAATTCTCCCCAGCAAAGAGCCGGGAGGAGAGAGGGGTGACATAAGGCTAGACGACACGGGGTTCTTTTGATTTGCCTCTGTGTGTTTCAGCGAACCTCTTGAAAGGTTAAGTTGACGTAAAGGTTACAGTGGCAATAGAGAGAGCTCCCGTAAACTCTCCCGCGCCCTCCCAGAGGTAACTCCGGACACCCCGCGGGACCTCTGTCGAGACTGAGAAGCCAGCATGGGCATGTTGCTGCTAACCAAACTCCACACTTCATCTGGGTCAGTTTTCCACTGATGCCCGTGCTCTGTGCCAGGGTCCCGTCTGGGACCCTGTGTTTAGCGACCGTGTCTTCACAGCTCATCTCGTCTGCCCCCACCCCTCACGCTTCCCTCGTTTTTTGATGACCTAGTCAGTTTTGGGGAGTCACTGGTCAGGGACTCTGTACACTGTCCCTCAAGTTGCGATTGACGTTTTCCCGGGGCCGTGGGCTTGGGGAAGAATGCCACGGAGATTTCGTGCCCTTTTTATCAAGATACCAAAGGTTCGTGCTGTCAACACGGCTGGTCACTCGTGACGTCACCGGCGATCACCTGGCCAGGCTCCTCCCTGGTACCTTTGTTTCTCCTTCCTACGCTCTGTTCTTCAGCGTGAGTCCAGCCCACACTCAAGTGAAGAGAAAGAACGACCCCGGGTTTGGTGGCAGAATCTGAGTTCCTAGGAGCCATGAGAAGCCACCGGGCGATTTTAAGCAGAGGGGTGACGCTGCATTCACATTTCAGATGAGTATGTGGCTGCACTGAATCCACCAGAGGGGGCCCGCGATGGATTAGGGTCACATCCACTGGAGCAGCGGTCTGCGTGGAGGTGAGGGTGGCTTGCATTAGTGTGGGAGGGAAGGGGCTAGAAGGGCAGGCAGGCACGGCTCGAGAGATATTTAAGAGGTAGAGTGGCCAGGACTTGGTTACTCTTTGGTTGGAGAACAGGAGTGGAGGGCAAGGAAGGTTCAAGGATGACTCCCGGAAGCCAGGTTCACGGTTTCAGCAGCTGGTTGAACATCAACGAGGCTGAAGACAAAAGGACACAGTCAGCAGGCAGGCAGATCTCCGAGGGCTCCCTGGCGGAGGCAGCCCCAGGGCTCTGGGGGGCAGGGGTATGCTGTTGTTCAAATGCCCCTGCTGAACTCCGGAGGCATTGTTCTCCTGCATGTCCGTGGCTACTCTGGCGGGCTCCGTACGCTGGGTAGCACCCGTTGACCATAAGAGAGCCTCGTCTACCTAAGTAAAGCTTTGACCGTCTTCCTCGTTTACGCCACATCTCTGTGAATACGACAGTTCAGCAGCCATACGCAGCATCCCCATCAAGGACTCTGTGAACGTATATGTACACGCAACACGAGGGACGGTGTTGGTTGGATCTCTGAATCTCCAGAGCTCTCTGTGGGCTTGTGGGGGAGCCCCGTGATAGAGCCCTCGGCATCTGTGTGTCCCCAAGTCCCACCCTCGGGAGCCACATGGCATCCAAGGCAGAAATCAGTAGACTGAGAAGGGCGTGTCAGACTCCACCACGGGCAAGAGGGTGCCTGGCACAGCAGGGATGAACTCAGGTGGTTCGCGGGGCAGGCGGGCTGTGGAAGGCCATGGGCGCCATCGTAAGAATGTTCTAAGGATTTCGGCTTCTCCTCGGAGCGAGGTGGAAAGCACTGGAGAGTTTCGAGTGGAGGGAACCATATAGCATCTTACATTTTTCTCTTTTTCTTTTTATTGAAGTACAGTTAACACACAGTGTCACGTTAGTTTCAGGTGCGCAACAGACTGATTCAACTTCTCCATCTGTTACAGGGCTACCTACCATCTGTCACCGTGCAACACTGTTACAATGCCACTGATTATACTCTGCGTGCTGTACCTTTCGTCCTCATGGCTTATCCACTCAAGTTATCTTACACTGTTTTTTTAAACGTTTATTTAGGGGCGCCTGGGTGGCTCAGTCGGTTGAGCGTCCGACTTCAGCTCAGGTTGTGATCTCGCAGTCCGTGAGTTCGAGCCCCGCGTCGGGCTCTGTGCTGACAGCTCAGAGCCTGGAGCCTGTTTCGGATTCTGTGTCTCCCTCTCTCTGACCCTCCCCCGTTCGTGCTCTGTCTCTCTCTGTCTCAAAAATATAAATAAAGTTTAAAAACATTTTTAAACAAATAAATGTTTATTTATTTTTGACGAGGGGGACAGGGGCAGAGAGAGGGAGACACAGAATCCGAAGCAGGCTCCGGGCTAAGTTGTCAGCACAGAGCCCGACACGGGGCTCAAACCCAAGAACCATGAGATCATGACCGGAGCTGGAGTCAGACGCTTAATCGACCAGGCGTCCCTTTTTAAAAAATTTTTTAATGCTTATTTATTTTGAGACGGGATGGGCTGAATGGGTGAGGGGCATTGAGGAGGGCACCCATTGGGATGAGCGCTGGGTTCTAGTCCTGAATTCGTTACTGCGCCGTATGCTAAGTAACTTGGATGCGAACTGTAAAAAATTAAGTAAATAAGTAGGTAAATAGCCACACGTGGCTACCAGCCGTCCAGAAAGGGTTTATTGTCAGGTCCCACGGAGTCACGGAGATCTGCAAAAAGTTTCCGGATCCGAACCAGCCATGACCAGTTTGAGCTGGGGCAGGTCTCCAGGGAGGCCGCGCATAGACGGGTGAGGGGCGCAGACCAGGGAGATCAGGACACCCGACTGGCTGTTGAAGACTGACGTCACCGTCGGTGGGGAAGCCAGCCCCACCCCGCTGGCATTTGCACACAGTTCCAGCCTGTGAGCTTGTGAGCTTGTGAGCGTGTGAGCGGGATGGGGAAGGAAGCAGGCATCTGGGTGGGGCCGTGGGGTCAGGGGGAAGTGGTGCAGAACGACGACGCCCCAGGGCGGTAAGGGACCCACCCAGCCCCCCATGACCCCGTGCACCCAGGGACCTGCCCAGCCCCCACCCCGTGACCCCATGCACCGAGGGACCCGGGACCCGGCCACCCACCCCCATGACCCCGTGCACCCGGGGACCAGCCCATCCCCCCGTGACCCCAAGGGACCCTTCGCCCCCGTGACCCCCTGCAAGGTGCAAGTTTCTTCCCGCTTCCCAGCCTGTTTCTAAGTGGGGATAGATAGTATCTAGTTCGGGGACCGCCTGACAATTAAAGGCCATCACTTCTCTGAAGTCCCTCGTGCGCCGGGAGCGAACAAGAGGCGGCCGTGGCCCCGGGGCCGCGGGGAACACGGTGCCCGGCCTCGTGGGCGGCCCGTTCGGGAACCGATGCGCGTCCATCCGTGCGTTTTGTGAACAGTAGTCCCTGAGCCTTCAGCGGGCTGTGAGCCGGACTCTGAGACGCGAAGGTGCGGTTCCTGCCCTCCCGGAGCTGGCTGTCCGGTGGGAAACACCGAACTGAAACTCGCACAGATGTGAGGCTCTAATGGAGACAGTGGTGTTTTCAGAGGCTGTAGGGGGAGCCCGGTGGGGAGGGCGTCCCTAAAGCGGCCACCTCCCAGCGGAAGTCTGCAGGCCGGGTTAGCCTGGGCGGGACGAGGCAGAGGAGTGTCCTAAGCAGAGTCTGTGGCAGCGGGAGCTGGAAACAGGCCAGCGGAGCCACGGGAGCCACGGGCCACCACGGGGGGGGGGGGAAGGGGGGGAAGGCAGATGAAGGGAGGGCCCCACGCTCGCAGGCCTGGTGTCGTCCACGGGCTGTCATGCACACCGACAGATCCTTCTAAGTGACCGAGGCAAAAATAATAGTGCTTCGTGATTTTATTGGGACTTAAACTGGTATCTGGGGTCATGCTTGTGTCTCTCCTTTTATCCTCCTGCGTTTGCACTGTTCACAATGAGTGTTCACCTTTTTCGGTTTTTTTTCTTTTTTTCTTTTGCAAAAACCGGAGCTTTTTAACAATCAGCTACGTTATCATCTGCAGAAAAATGCACCTGTTTTAAGGGAGTGCCTCTGTGAATCCTGGACACGCTTCTCCCACCACAGCCAAGAGGCGGGACATCCTCATCACCCCAGACAGAGCTTTCCCGGCCGGCTCCCGCCGCCCCACCCCGGCCACAGGCCACCTCTCACCTGCTTTCTGCCACCGGACGCATCACATTTGTCTTTTCCGGTCTCGCGTGGACGACACTGGACCCCAGGTACACTTTCGTGGCCGGCTTCTCTCGCTCAACACGTGTTGAGGGTGGTTCATCCCGTGGCGCCAGCCCACACCTGATCGTTGCTGGGGCTCGTCCCTTGCGCGGGCGTGCTGCAATTTGTGGAACACGTGGGTTGTGTCCGGGTCTCTCTGCCCTCGTGAATACAGCTGCCGTGAATCGTGGGGACATGTTCGGGGGCTTTTGAGCGGAGACCCAGGAGCCCAGCTGCCGCGCCCCGGGTCAGCGCGCGTTTCGCTTTACAAGAACCTGCCACGCGGTTCAAGAACCGCCAGCGGCGCGTGAGGGCGTTCCCAAAGCCCGGTACCGGTGGTGGCCTTCGTGCGAGCCGTTCTGGAGGGTGCGCCGAGGACTCCCGTGGTTTCACCTCGCCCTTCCCTGGTGGCCAGTGGTGTCTCGCACCTTCTCCACGTGAACTGCCCGCCTGCCGTCTTCTGCCCATTTTTAAATTCAGTCGATGGTTGTGTTGTTCCTGAATTGTGTTTCGCACGTTCTGGACACGAGTCCTTTGTCAGTTACCAGTGTGACACGTGTTACCTCCCACTCTGTGGCTTGCTGTTTTGAAGATTGGGTTTTGTTTTTTTCTTCTTGGACGGCTTTGAGATAGAATTCTAAATCGTGTCTCTAGAGTATAATTTTTAGGTCCTTTTTTCTTTTCTGGCGCAGGCTTTTGTTGTTGTAGCTAAGAAATCTTGACCCCCTCTGAGGCTGTGATGATTTTCTCCGATGTCTCTTCCGGGATTTTTATGGCTTTAGCTTACTTTTCGGTCTACGACCTGTTCCACCTCCGTCTCTGTGTGCGGTGTTCGCTAAGGGTAAGCCCTCCCCCTGTTATCTTAGTAATAAAACACACAGAGCTGCACTTTGAAAGACCAGGTCACAAACCAAGCCCGAAAGGTCACTGATTCCCCGGTGTTGCTCTGTTAACGAGATCGCTGTGGTATAAAGGTCAGGGTCTGTGGTCTCTTGTGCAAATGTATTCCAGCTGGCAGGACCCGGACATACACTTCTGTTATGTCCACTTGTGATGCTTCCTCCCTACACTTAGCTCTGGTTCATGCCAACACACAGTAGGACCTCACACACTGAGCAGGGGGCGGGGAGGCACCGAGATGAAACGGGGTAGAAATGTTCCCATTCAGAGCAGACGCAAGGGCCAGGTACTTGGCTCTCAGATGGGCTTGGCTGAATACGCCAAACTCACTTCTGCAAGAAACGTTTCCCTGCTGACCTGCCCCAGTGTCGTGTCCCCAGTGTTAAGAATCACAGGGGACTCGGGGCGCCTGGGGGGCTCAGTCGGTTGAGCATCTGAGTTCAGCTCAGGTCATGATCTCACGGTTCGTGGGTTCGAGCCCCACGTCAGGCTCTGTGCTGACAGCTCGGAGCCTGGAGCCCGCTTCTGATTCTGTGTCTCCCACCCTCTCTGCCCCTCCCCCGCTGGTGCTCTGTCTCTGTCTCTGTCTCTCTCTCAAAAACAAATAAACATAAAAGAATTAAAAAATTAAAACAAACATAAAAAAAGTAAATGAAACATGAAAAATTAAACATAAAAAATTAAAATAAACATTAAAAAATTAAA